CCCAAAAATCCCTCCCAAAAATAGACTGAAATACCACCAAAAGTACTCCCAAAACTGGACTGAAATACCCCAAAAATAGCCCAAAAATCCCAAAATCTCCCCAAAAAATTTTTTTTAATTCTCAAAAACTCCCCCAAAAATCCTCTACCAATACCTCAGACTTGCCCCAAAAATTCCCCAAAATGCCCCCAAAACCCCCTTAAATCCCCCCCCAAATCCCCCCAAATTTCACCCAGACCTTTTCCAAACCCCAAATTCCCATTTTTTCCTATTTTTTTTCCCATTTTTTCCCATTTTCAGGGGATATTTTGGAGACTGGGGCTCAGTGGAGCATCCTGAGGAAGGACATCCCCCCAAAACCCCCTTAAATCCCCCCCAAACCTCCCCAAATTTCACCCAAATCTTCCCCAAATCCCCCCAAATTTCACCCAGACCTTTTCCAAACCCCAAATTCCCATTTTTCCCCCATTTTTTCCCCGTTTTTTCCCATTTTCAGGGGATATTTGGAGATTGGGGCGCAGTGGAGCATCCTGAGGAAAGACATCCCCCCAAAACTCCCTTAAATCCCCACTAAATCCCCCCAAATCTTCCCCAAATCCCCCCAAATTTCACCCAGACCTTTTCCAAACCCCAAATTCCCATTTTTTCCTATTTTTTCCCCATTTTTCCCCATTTTCAGGGGATATTTTGGAGATTGGGGCTCAGTGGAGCATCCTGAGGAAGGACATCCCCTCCTTTGAGCGTTACATGGCTCAGCTCAAGTGCTACTACTTCGACTACAAGTGAGTCTGGGGGGTTTGGGGGAAATTTGGGGCATTTGGGATAAAATTTGGGGCATTTGGGATGAAATTTGGGGCATTTCGGATGAAATTTGGGGGATTTCAGATAAAATTTGGGGATTTCGGATGAAATTTGGGGGATTTTGGGGAAGATTTGGGGGGATTTAAGGGGGTTTTGGAGGCAGTTTTCTCCCTCAGGATGCTCCACTGAGCCCCAGTCTCCAAAATATCCCTTGGGAAATGGGGGGAAAAAAAAAAAAAAATTTGGGAATTTGGGGTTTGGAGAAGGTTTGGGTGAAATTTGGGGGGGTCTGGGTGGGATTTGGGGGGGGCTCAGAACCTTCTGGAACCTTCTGGTACCCCTCAGAACATTCTGGAACCCCTCAGGGAGGATCTGCCCAAGTCGGCACCGCCTGCTGGGGCTGATCCTGGGGGGGGGCTCGGGGGGCTCGGAACCTTCTGGAACCTTCTGGAACCCCCTCAGAACATTCTAGACTCCCTCAGAACCTTCTGGAACCTGTCAATGTTCTGGAACCCCCTCAGAACCTTCTGGAACCCCTCAGAACATTCCGGAACCTCTCAGAACCTTCTGAAACCCCCTCAGAACCTTCTGGAATCTCTCAGAATGTTCTGGAACCCACTCAGAACGTTCTGGAACTTGTCAACGTTCTGAAAGCCCTCAGAACCTTCTGGAACCCCCTCAGAACGTTCTGGAACCCCCTCAGAATGTTCTAGAATCTCTCAGAACCTTCAGGAGTCCCCTCGGAACCTTCTGGAACCCCCCCTCAGAACCTTCTGGAACCCCCCCTCAGAACATTCTAGAATCCTTCAGGATGTTCTGAAACCCCTCAGAATGTTCCAGAATACCTCAGAACGTTCCAGAATCCTTCAGAACCTTCTGGAACCCCTCGGAACGTTCTGGAACCCCTCAGAACGTTCTGGAACCCCTCAGGGAGGAGCTGCCCCAGTTGGGGTGGGGTGGGAGGCCCAGGGGGTTCCGGGATGGGCTCAGAACCTTCCGGAACCTCGCGGGCCACGTCGGGAACGTTCCGGAACCCCCCCTTAGGGAGGAGCTGCCGGAGTCGGCGTCGCGGCACCAACTGCTGGGGCTGAACCTGCTGTTCCTGCTGTCCCAGAACCGCGTGGCCGAGTTCCACACGGAGCTGGAGCGGCTGCCGGCGCCCGACATCCAGGGCAACCTCTTCATCCGGCACCCGGTGTCCCTAGAGCAGGTATGGGGGATTTAGGAACCTCTTCATCCTCACCCGGTGTCATTGGAACAGGTATGGGGGATTATTAGGGGATTTAGGAACCTCTTCATCCGGCACCCGGTGTCGTTAGAACAGGTATGGGGGATTTAGGAACCTCTTCATCCTCACCCGGTGTCACTGGAACAGGTATGGGGATTGATTAGGGGATTTAGGAACCTCTTCATCCGGCACCCGGTGTCGTTAGAACAGGTATGGGGGATTTAGGAACCTCTTCATCCTCACCCGGTGTCACTGGAGCAGGTATGGGGGAATAGGGGATTTGGGAACCTCTTCATCCGGCACCCGGTGTCATTGGAACAGGTATGGGGGATTAGGGGATTTAGGAACCTCTTCATCCTCACCCGGTGTCACTGGAACAGGTATGGGGGATTTAGGAACATGGGAACCTCTTCATCCGGCACCCGGTGTCATTGGAGCAGGTATGGGGGAATAGGGGATTTAGGAACCTCTTCATCCGGCACCCGGTGTCACTGGAACAGGTACGGGGATTGATTAGGGGATTTAGGAACCTCTTCATCCGGCACCCGGTGTCACTGGAACAGGTATGGGGGATTTAGGAGCCTCTTCATCCTCACCCGGTGTCACTGGAACAGGTATGGGGGAATAGGGGATTTAGGAACCTCTTCATCCTCACCCGGTGTCACTGGAGCAGGTACGGGGGAATAGGGGATTTAGGAACATGGGAACCTCTTCATCCGGCACCCGGTGTCGTTAGAACAGGTATGGGGGAATAGGGGATTTAGGAACCTCTTCATCCTCACCCGGTGTCATTGGCGCAGGTATGGGGGATTTAGGAACCTCTTCATCCTCACCCGGTGTCCCTAGAGCAGGTATGGGGGAATAGGGGATTTGGGAACCTCTTCATCCGGCACCCGGTGTCACTGGAACAGGTATGGGGGATTAGGGGATTTAGGAACATGGGAACCTCTTCATCCGGCACCCGGTGTCATTGGAGCAGGTATGGGGGATTTAGGAACCTCTTCATCCTCACCCGGTGTCCCTAGAGCAGGTATGGGGGAATAGGGGATTTGGGAACCTCTTCATCCGGCACCCGGTGTCGTTAGAGCAGGTATGGGGGATTTAGGAACCTCTTCATCCTCACCCCGTGTCCCTGGAGCAGCTGTGGGGTGGATTTGGGGCATTTTTGGGATTTTTGGGTCGATTTGGGGCTGAAGTTGAGGCTGGGATCCGGGGCCGGGTCCTGTGCGGGTCTGGGGACGTTCCCGTGCAATTTTGGGGGGTTCTGACCCTTTTTGGGTGTTTTTACTGCACTTTTTCAGTCTCGCATCCCATTTTTCCATTTTCCCGTTGTTTTGCCCCATTTTGGGGTGGTTTTGCTCCATTTTGGGGTTTCCTATCCCATTTTTGGGGGTGTTTGGGGGTGTTTTGCTCATTTGTGGGTGTTTTGCACAATTCCCAGAGTTTTCTATTCCATTTCTGGGATGTTTTACCCCATTTTTGTGGTGTTTTACCCCATTTTTTGGTGTTTATCCCATTTTTGTGATATTTTTACCCCATTTTTTGCTGTTTCACCCCGTTTTTTGGTGTTTTACCCCCAGTACCTGATGGAGGGCAGCTACAACAAAGTGTTCCTGGCCAAGGGCAACATCCCAGCAGAGAGTTACACCTTCTTCATCGACATCCTGCTGGACACCATCAGGTCAGGGACCCCAAAATCCCCTAAACTCACCCCAAATCCCCTAAACTCACCCCAAATCCCCTAAACTCACCCCAAATCCCCTAAACTCACCCCAAACCCCTAAACTCACCCCCAAATCCCCTAAACTCACCCCAAAACCCCTAAACTCACCCCAAACCCCTAAACTCACCCCCAAATCCCCTAAACTCACCCCAAAACCCCCTAAACTCACCCCAAAATCCCCTAAACTCACCCCAAACCCCTTTTCCCCTCCCCTAAATCACCCAATCTCCTTCAGAACCCCATCAATTTCCCCCAAAAATCCCCCCCATAATGCCCCAAAATTCCCCCCAAAATTTCCTCCGAGACCCTCAGACCCCTCAATATCCCCCTGAAAACTCCCAAAATTCCCCAATTTCTCCTTCAAACCCCTCAATATCCCCCCTGAAAACCCCCGAAATTCCCCAGTTTCCCCCTCAAACCCCCCAAAATCCTCCCCAGGGACGAGATCGTGGGCAGCATCGAGGCCACAAACCCCAATATGGCCCCAAAACCCCCAAAAAATCCCCAATTTCCCCTTCAAACCCCCCAAATTCCCTGAAACCCCCCAAAATCCCCCTGAACCCCCCCAAAAGGCCCCAAATTTCACCCCTGCAGGGATGAGATCGCGGGCGGCATCCAGGCCACAAACCTCCAATATGGCCCCAAAACCCCCCCAAAACTCCCTAATTTCCCCTTCAAACCCCCCAAAATCCTCCCAAATTCCCCTGAACGCCCCCAAAATCCCCCTGAAAACCCCCCAAAATCCCCCTGAACCCCCCCAAAAGGCCCCAGATTTCCCCCTGCAGGGATGAGATCGCGGGCGGCATCCAGGCCACAAACCCCAATATGGCCCCAAAACCCCCCCAAAACTCCCTAATTTCCCCTTCCAACCCCCCAAAATCCTCCCAAATCCCCCTGAACGCCCCCAAATCCCCCTGAAACCCCCCAAATCCCCCTGAACCCCCCGAATTTCCCCCATTGCAGGGATGAGATCGCGGGCGGCATTGAGGCCACAAACCCCCCAATATGGCCCCAAAACCCCCCCAAAACTCCCTAATTTCCCCTTCAAAGCCCCCAAAATCCTCCCAAATTCCCCTGAAACCCCCCCAAATCCCCCTGAAACCCCCAAATCCCCCCAAATCCCCCCGAATTTCCCCCACTGCAGGGATGAGATCGCGGGCTGCATCGAGGCCGCCTACGAGCGGATCCTGTTCCCCGAGGCCGCGCGGATCCTGTTCTTCAGCTCGCCCCGCAAGATGACCGACTACGCCAAGAAGGTACCAGAACACCCCGAAATACACCCCGAAATAGCCCCTGAAACACCCCGAAATAGCCCCTGAAACACCCTGAAATAGCCCCTGAAACACCCCAAAATACACCCTGAAATAGCCCCTGAAACACCCCAAAATACACCCTGAAATAGCCCCTGAAACACCCCAAAATAGCCCCTGAAACACCCTGAAATACCCCAAAATAGCCCCTGAAATACCCTCTGAAACACCCCCTGAAAGACCCCGAAATAGCCCCTGAAACACCCCAAAATACCCCCCAAAACACCTCCTGAAACACCCCCTGAAACACCCCCGAAACACCCCAAAATACCCCCTGAAACACCCCGAAATACCCCCTGAAATACACTGAAACACCTCCTGAAACACCCCAAAATAGCCCCCAAAACACCTCCTGAAACACCCCCTGAAACACCCCCTGAAACACCCCAAAATACCCCCTGAAACACCCCAAAATGGCTCAAAAACGGGCTGGAATGCCCCAAAACCGGTCTGAAACACCCGAAAAATACCCTGAAATACCTGAAAAACACCCCAAAACACCCCAAAATACCCCAAAAACTGTCTGAAACACCCCCAAAATTGACTGAAAGCCCCCAAATCCCCTTCTAACCTTCCCCAAAACCCCCAATATCCACCCCAAGACCCCAATGTCCACTTCAAATCCCCCAATTTCCACCCCTTTAAATATCCACCCCAATATCCATCCCTAACCCCTCTAAACCCCTTCCAGTTCCCCCAAATCCCCCCTATACCCACCCCAAACCTCTTCTTCCCCCTTTAACCCCATTTTTCCCCCTTTTAACCCCATTTTTCCCCCTTTTAACCCCATTTCCCCCCTTTTAACCCCTTTTTCCCCCTTTAACCCCCATTTTCCCCCTTTTAACCCCATTTTCCCCCCCTTTTAACCCCTTTTCCCCTCTTTTAACCCCATTTTTTCCCCTTTTAACCCCATTTTTCCCCCTTTTAACCCCATTTTCCCCCTTTTAACCCCATTTTTCCCCCTTTAACTCCCTTTTAACCCCATTTTTCCCCCTTTAACCCCATTTTTTCCCCCTTTTAACCCCCTTTTTTTCCCCCTTTTAACCCCATTTCCTCCCTTTTAAACCCCATTTTTTCCCCTTTTAACCCCATTTTCCCCCCTTTTAACCCCTTTTTTTTCCCCTTTTAACCCAATTTTTCCCCCTTTTAACCCCATTTTTCCCCTGTTTTTCCAGCGGGGCTGGGTGCTGGGCCCCTCCAACTATTACAGCTTCGGGGGGCGGCAGCAGAAGGCCGAGGACCCCCCGATCCCCTCCACGGAATTGGCCACGCAGGTCATCGAGTACGCCCGGCAGCTGGAGATGATCGTCTGAAAAACACAAAATTCCCTCATTCCCCCTTTAGTCCCTTTTTTTCCCCCATTTTTCCCCATTTTTTCTGCCTTTTTTTCCGTGATTTTTCTGCCTTTTTTCGCGTTTTTTTGGGGGTTCTCCAACGTTTAAAGTGGTTTGGTTTTTTTTTTGGAGGGAGTTTAAGTGGTTAAAGATTATTTGGTTCATTTCCGTGTTAACACCTCCAAAATTTCCCCAAAACCCCGTTTATTCTCTTTATTTGTCTTATTTTATTGCGTTTTTTCGGGGGTTGAAGTATTTTTTGGGGTGTGGTTAAATATTTAAAAGGGGCTTTGGAGGGGTCTTGATGCTCTCTGAAACCCCCAGGACCCCCAAAATCCCCATTTATTCCCATTTTCTCTTCAATTTTGTTGCATTTTTCAGGGGGAGTCTTCATGTGGGAACCCCAAAAACCCCCTCAGACCTCCCCAAACAGCCCCAAATCCCCCTTTTAACTCCCATTTCCCCTCATTTTCGGGAGGTTTCACAATTTAAAGGTTCTTTTGTGGGGGGATTTGGCGATCCCCCCCTCCCCACACCCCCTTTTTGGGCAGAACCGGGGGGCTGAGCCCCCTCCCCAAAAATGCAAACCCCAAAATGTTGTTCCAATAAAGCGCTGGAGCCGGAGTGAGGCGGTTTTGGGGTCATTTTGGGGCCATTTTGGGGCCGTTTCGTTCCTGAGGGGCTCCGGGACCCCCGAATTGGGGAGGGGGCGGTGCCAACCCCGCACAATAAAACCCCGCCCCGCCTCTCCTGATTGGCTGGGGGCTCCCGCCCCTCACGCTGATTGGTCGAGGCGCTTCCCCCAGCAAAAAAGGCGCGCTCGCGTGGCCGGCGTGAATGAAAGGGCTGAGATGATTGGATGGCGGGAATGAGAGGAGAGCGATGATTGGTTGGAGCCGCGAGGCGTGTAGCCAATGAGCGTGCTAGGGGGCGGGGCTGAGGTGAGGTGAGGAGGGAGTGCGCCCCCTTGAGGCTGGGAGGCCAAGTGCTCCCAGTTACCCCCCCATGCCCTCCCAGTTGCTCCCAGTCACCGCCAGTGCCCTCCCAGTAGCTCCTGCACTGAGGAGCGGGGAACGTCCCACACGCGCTGGCCAATCACAAACAAAAATGTGAGCAAATCGACCAATCAGAGCGCGGCGCTGAGGGAGTGGGCGTTGATTGACATGCAGCTCAGCCAATGAGTGAGGGGCATGCCCGGTGGGCGAGAGCAGAGGCCGGGGCTCCTCGAGATGAGCCAATGGTGGCCGGATGAGGTTGATCGACGTCTTGTGGCGGCAATGGCGGGGGCGCCGCGGCCGAAAGGCGCTGTGGGAAGAGGGAGGCGGGATCTGCGGGATGCACAAGAAGAAGGGAGGAGCCTCGCCCTGACAGGCAACGGCGCCTCCAATCAGCGCGGTGGGCGGGCGGACCGTTGCGCGCGACGACCAATGGTATTCTCAGGATTGCATTGATGGGCAGTTCAGCCGATCAATAGGCGCGGGGCTTTTTTCTGCGACCCGGCAAATCACAACGGCGTGCGGCCTCGCGGGTGTGGCGGGAACAGCGTCAGCCAATGGGATGCGCGGACCGCCTTGATTGACGCGTGGGCGGGCCAATGGGGGCGTGTCGTGGGCGGGACCGCGGAGCGGGGCGCCATGTCGCGGCGGCGGTGGCGCGGCCCTCAGGGTGCTGAAGGTGGCGGACGCGGAGCCGACATGGGGAAGATGGCTACGGGCGGCGGCGGCGGCGGTTCGGGCCGATATTATGGCGGCGGTGGCGGCGGCGAAGGCGGGAGAGCCCCAAAACGCCTGAAAACCGAGAGCGCGGAGGCGCCGCCTCATGGGCCCGGCGGGCCGGGGGGCGCGGGCGGCGGCGCCGGAGCGGGAGGATCGGTGAGAACGGGGGAAAGCGGGGAAGGGGTTTGGTGTGGGCAGCGGGGGCAGAACAGCTCCTTGAGGGGGGGAAAAACGCTGTGAGGGTGTAAATACGGCGGTAGGAGCTGAGAGGGGTAAAAGAGCTCCTGCGAGGGGGCAAAAATGGCGGGAAGGGCTGAGGGGGGGTAAAAGAGCTCCTGTGAGGGGGCAGAAATGGCGGGAAGGGGGTAGGGGGGTAAAAGAGCTCCTGTGAGGGGGCAGAAATTGAGAGAAGGGCTGAGGGGGCTTAGGAGACTCTCATGAAAGGTTAAAGAGGGAAGGAGAAGCTGAGGGGGGGAAAGAAGTTTGTGTGAGGGGGGAAGATGTGGGGAGGGAGGTTCTGAGGGGACAAACATGGCGGGAAGAGCTGAGGGGGGGAAAAGATCCCGTTTGAGGGGTAAATATTGGAGGGTAAATACTGAAGAGAGTAAAAGATCTCCCTTGAGAGTGTAAATATTGAGAGGAAATAAAAAGTTTGTTCTGAGAGAGTAAATATTGCGGGGTAAATACTGAGGAGTGCAAAAAGATATTGTTTGAGGAAGTAAACATTGAGGGATAAATATTGGGGGTAAGTACCGAGGAATGGAAAAAGATGTTTGAGGGAATAAATAGAGGGGGGTAAGTACTGAAGAAGAATAAAAGATTTCTGAGGGGGCAAATATTGAGGGGGGAAATCTTGGGGTAAGCATTGGAGATAAATGTGGGGGCAAAGATAAATTGGCAGTGTCCCCAAACCTTGGCTGTCCCCAGGAGAACTACGAGGACCCGCACAAGACGCCGGCGTCGCCCGTGGTTCACATCCGCGGCCTCATCGACGGCATCGTGGAGGCCGACCTGGTGGAGGCGCTGCAGGAGTTCGGGCCCATCAGGTGGGACACGGCGGGGACACTGGGGTGGGGACACTGGGGACAGTGTGCTGGGGACACTGGGGGTACTGGGGACACTGGGATGGGGACACTGGGGACAGTGTGCTGGGGACACTGGGGGGACAGTGGGGATAGTGTACTGGGGACACTGGGGGGACAGTGGGGACACTGGGATGGGGACACCGGGGACAGTGTGCTAGGGACACGGGAGTGGTGACACCATGGGGTGACACCACCACGCTGACCGTGTCCCCCCTGTCCCAGCTACGTGGTGGTGATGTCAGGGGTTGGTGACACCATGGGGTGACACCACCACACTGACCATGTCCCCCCGTCCCAGCTACGTGGGGATGATGTCAGGGGTTGGTGACACCATGGGGTGACACCACCACACTGACCATGTCCCCCCTGTCCCAGCTACATGGTGGTGATGTCAGGGGTTGGTGACACCATGAGGTGACACCATGGGGTGACACCACCACCCTGACCATGTCCCCCCTGTCCCAGCTACGTGGTGGTGATGTCAGGGGTTGGTGACACCATGAGGTGACACCATGGGGTGACACCACCACCCTGACCATGTCCCCCCTGTCCCAGCTACGTGGTGGTGATGCCGAAGAAGCGCCAGGCCCTGGTGGAGTTCGAGGACATCCTGGGCGCCTGCAATGCCGTCAACTACGCGGCCGACAACCAGATCTACTTCGCTGGGCACCCGGCCTTCGTCAACTACTCCACCAGCCAGAAGATCTCACGGCCAGGGGACAGCGACGACGCGCGCGGCGTCAACAACGTGCTGCTCTTCACCATCCTCAACCCCATCTACTCCATCACCACGGTGAGCAGGGCTGGGGTTTGGGGTTTTATTGGGGTTTGTTGGAGTTTTATTGGGGTTTGGGGTCACCACCAACGTGCTGCTCTTCACCATCCTCAACCCCATCTACTCCATCACCACGGTGAGCGGGGCTGGGGTTTGGGGTTTTATTGGGGTTTATTGGGGTCACCACCAACGTGCTGCTCTTCACCATCCTCAACCCCATCTACTCCATCACCACGGTGAGCAGGGCTGGGGTTTGGGGTTTTATTGGGGTTTATTGGGGTCACCACCAACGTGCTGCTCCTCACCATCCTCAACCCCATCTACTCCATCACCACGGTGAGCAGGGCTGGGGTTTGGGGTTTTATTGGGGTTTATTGGGGTTTATTTGGGTTTATTGGGGTCACCACCAACGTGCTGCTCTTCACCATCCTCAACCCCATCTACTCCATCCCCACGGTGAGCAGGGCTGGGGTTTGGGGTTTTATTGGGGTCACCACCAACGTGCTGCTCTTCACCATCCTCAACCCCATCTACTCCATCACCACGGTGGGTTTGGGGTGTCCTAGCTTCATTTTGGGGCTCTCAGGTTGGTTTTTGGGGTCTCAGGTTGGTTTTTGGCATCCAAGGTGGGTGTTTAGGGTCTTGGGCTGTATTTTTGGGGTCCCAGATGGGTTTGGGGTTCTAGGCTGTATTTTTGGGGTCCTGTGTGGGTTTTTGGGGTCCCAGATGGGTTTGGGGGTCCTAGGCTGTATCTTTGGGTACTGGGCTGTATTTTTGGGGTCCCGTGTGTGTTTTGGGGTGCCCCTGACCCCCCTTTCCCCCCAGGACGTGCTCTACACCATCTGCAACCCCTGCGGGCCGGTGCAGAGGATCGTCATCTTCCGCAAGAACGGCGTGCAGGCCATGGTGGAATATCCCACACACAGCACCCCAAACCTGCACTGGGGGTTTGGGGGGGATCCCCGAAATCCCAGTGCCCCCAGGAATGGGGATCAAAGGGATCCGAGGTCACCAGAACAGCCCAGGTGGCCCCGCCTGGCTCAGAGCGAGGCTGTCCCAGCCCCTCTGGGGTCCCAAAATTCCCTGGATCCCATCGGGAATTCCCTGAATGCAGGCAGGAAATGCCCACATTGCCTCGGGAATTGCCCCACTCCCAAATCCCATTGGAAATTCCCCAGATTCCATCGGGAATTGCCCCAGTCCCAAATCCCGTTGGGAATTCCAGGTTCCATCAGGAATTCCCTCAATCCCAAATTCCTCAGGAATTGCCCCAATCCCAAATCCCATTGGAATTGCCCTGAGTCCATCAGGAATTGCCCCAGATCCCAATCCCAGTTTGGTTTCCTTGACTGGGCCACGTTTGACTCAGTGCAGAGCGCCCAGCGCGCCAAGGCCTCGCTCAACCCCAATCCCAAATCCCCTCTGGAATTGCCCCAAATCCCTCAGGAATTGCCCCAAATCCCCTCAGGAATGGCCCCAAATCCCCTCAGGAATTGCCCCAAATCCCAATCCCAGTTTGGTTTCCTTGACTGGGCCATGTTTGACTCAG